AGCAAGGAATTTTAACATCCATAAAACAATTAATGCAGTATTCTCCATTAGTAAAGAAAATAGACAAAAACTACATGATCTTTTCAGTAAACAGAAACAAACCCAAAGCAGATAAAACCCAAAACCCGTTCATGGTAAAATTTTTAACATATTAGATATGTGGAAGGAAGCTTCCTAACCCTTGTCTAGGACATGTACAAAAAGTCTGTTGTGATGAGAATTTTATAATTTCCGTTGTTTCATTTATATTCTCCGATCCATTTCTAATTTTTGTTTATGGTGTTAAGATCTTTTTTTCTGTATTGATATCTGGTTGTTTCATCACCATTTGTAGAAAATAATATCTTTTCCCCCATTGAATTCCCTTGGCACTTTTGTCAAAAAAATCAGTTGAACTTGTATATATGGGTCTGATTTTGTTTTCTCTCCTGTTTTATTGATCTATAAGTTAATCTGATGCCATACTATCTTGAGTATTCTAGCTTTATAAAAGTATATCTTGAAATATAAAATATTCCACCTTTGTTCTTGTTTTCCAGAATTGGTTTAGCTATTTTAGATCTTTTACATTTTTACATAAATAGAATCATTGTGTCAGTTTCTCTAAGGTAACTTGTTGATTATATTGAATTTGTAGAACGTTTCAATCCATAAACAGGATATATCTTATTTTATTTGGGACATCTTTAATTTTCTTGGCAATGTTTTATAGTGTTTTAGTTGACAGTTTTGTACAGGTCTTGTTCATGTTTTGGTAAATTTATCTCAAGTTTTCTGTGTTTTTATTCTGCCTTTAATGAAATTAAAAGATATTTCAGATTTTTCATTGCTAACATACAGTAAAAGGGTTGACTTTTGGATATTAAGCTTGTATCCTTCAACCTTGGTAAATTCACTTATTTCTTTCCTTTTAATACTTTATTTTGTTTTATTTTGGCCACGCCATGCTGCTTGCAGGATCTTAGTTCCCTGTCCAGGGATCAACCCAGGCCACAGCAGTGAAAGCACCAAGTCCTAACCACTGGACTGCCAGGGAATTCCCTAAAAACAGAATGTATAGAATTTACTTAATATACAATCACGTCATCTCCATTGCAGCTTTTCTCATGCCTTTCTTGTGTAAATTATTGTACCAGGAACTCAAATAGTTGATGAAGGAGTGTGTTGCTTTTTTTTAAAAAAATATATATTTGGCTGCTTCGGGTCTTAGTTGCGGCACACGGGTTTCTCTAGTTGAGGTGCGAGGGCTCAGTAGTTGTGGCGTGCAGGCTCTAGTTGTGGTGCACAAGGGAGTGTTTCTTTATATCAGTACTCTAGCTGATAAATTCAGTAGGAATACGGTATTTGTTTTTCTCTTTCTGACTTCACTCTGTATGACAGGCTCTAGGTCCATCCATCTCACTGCAAATAGCCCAATTTCATTTCTTTTTATGGCTGAGTAATATTCCATTGTATATATGTGCCACATCATCTTTTTTTTTTTTCTTTTTTTTTTGGCGGCACGCGGGCCTCCCACCGCCGCGGCCTCTCCCGTTGCGGAGCACAGGCTCCGGACGCGCAGGCCCAGTGGCCACGGCCCACGGGCCCAGCCGCTCCACGGCACGCGGGACCCTCCCGGACTGGGGCACGAACCCGCGTCCCCTGCATCGGCAGGTGGACTTGCAACCACTGCACCACCAGGGAAGCCCTGCCACATCATCTTTATCCATTCATCTGTTGATGGACACTTAGGTTGCTTCCATGTCCTGGCTATTGTAAATAGTGCTGCAGTGAACATTGTGGTACATGACTCTTTTTGAATTATGGTTTTCTCTAGGTATATGCCCAGTAGTGGGATTGCTGGGTCATATGGTAGTTCTATTTTTAGTTTTTTAAGGAACCTCTATACTGTATGCTAACACATATATATATGGAATCAAAACAAAAAAATGTTTCTGAAGAACCTAGAGGCAGGACAGGAATAAAGACACAGACATAGAGAATGGACTTGAGGACATGGGGAGGGGGAAGGGTAAGCTGGGATGAAGTGAGAGAGTGGCATGGACATATATACACTACCAAATGTATAATAGGTAGCTAGTGGGAAGCAGCTGCATAGCACAGGGAGAGCAGCTCCGTGCTTTGGCCACTTAAGAGAGGTGGGATAGGGAGGGTGGGAGGGGGACGCAAGAGGGAGGAGATATGGGGATGTATGTATATGTATAGCTGATTCACTTTGTTGTACAGCAGAAACTAACACACCATTGTAAAGCAATTATACTCCAATAAAGATGTTAAAAAAAATTCAGTAGGAACAATTAGAATTATAAAATGCCTTTTTCAGTAGCCCCTAATAATACTTTAGGTCTAGGCACTGATCAAAAATGGATGCTAAAACTAATAGATGGAAAATTGAGAGGAAACTTTATAATGGACATATCAAGTTGACACTATCTGAAACCACTCACGATTTTTTATTTATTTATTTGTTTTTGACTGCGTTGGGTTTTCGTCGCTGTGCGCGGGCTTTCTCTAGTTGTGGCCAGTGGGGGCTACTCTTCGTTGTGATGCGCGGGCTTCTCATTGTGGTGGCTTCTCTTGTTATGGAGCATGGACTCTAGGTGTGCGGGCTTCAGTAGTTGTGGTGCGCGGGCACAGTAGATGTGGCTTATGGGCTCTAGAGTGCAGGCTCAGTAGTTGTAGCGCACGGGCCTAGTTGCTCCGCGGCATGTGGGATTTTCCTGTGTCCCCTGCATTGACAGGTGGATTCTTAAGCATTGAGCCATCAGGGAAGCCCAACGATTTTTAACACTACTAAAAAATGGGAATACCAGACATTGTGTCTACATATGTGATGTGGTAGAACATTCCATTAGGTCTTTTTTTTTTTTTTTTAAGCTTCTGTTTCTCTGTTGTATTCATGTTTATCTCTAGTTTCTTAAACATTTGGAGCATACTTAGAAATAGTTGTTTCGGTGTTCTTGTCTGTTGATTCCCTCACTGCTGACAGCTCTGGTTCTGTTTTTATTGATTGGTTTTTCTTTGGCTGTGGATTATATATTCCTATTTGCATGCCTGTTTTTTGTTTTGCTTTACTGGATGTCGGACTTTGCAACTTTTATGTTGCTGGGTTCCAGATTTTGTTGTATTTCTTTAGGTAGTATTAGGCTTTCTTCTGACATGTACTTTAGCTAATTGGAATCCATTTTGAGCCTTAATATTTGTTTGAATGAGTCCAGCACTTCCTTAATGTAGGACTAATTTATCACATTACAAAGGAAATGGATTTCTGAAGATTCCACCTGATGCTCCATGTATTATGTGGTCTTTCCACTGTGGCTAGTATTTGTATTTTTGTCACATTTTCATATTATTCACCCAAAGATTCAATGGAACCTTTCTGAAGATCACCAGAGCACATATGTGCACTCATGCATGCCCTCTTGTGCACATTCTTGTTCTTTCTGTCTTTCTTCCTCTCTCTCTCTGCTGCTCCCTCCTTTCCTTTATCCTGCCCTATAAATGTTAAAGATCTTTCCTCCATCACCTGCACCCCAAAACTGTCTGTCTCTTCAATTCAGTGAGATTGGCAGGCTCTGTTAGGTTTCTCCCTTCTTGCATTGTGGCCTAGAGATTGCCTGTACTTAGTAAAATTGGGATATTGTAGGGGTCATTTTAGTTTTTTAATTCCCTCTCTAAGGAATCACATCCCTGTCCTGCCTGCTTTCCGAAGTCTTGAAACCGTTGTTTAATATGTTTTGTCTGATTTTCCAGTTTTTTCACATAGGCGAGTAAATCCAGTCCCTGTTATTCCATCTTGAATGAAAGCAGACTTTTGCAAATTTCCTTTTCATTGTTTTATGTATTAGATGAGGTAGGAATATTTTGGGGAAAATACAAAAATAATACAGGCTACTGCTTAAGAAAAAACAGCAGTGGCTTTTTTGCTATGTTCAAAAGTAAGTTCATTTGGATTTTGATTAGGATTTGGCTATAAACTAGTATTTGTATGTAACCTTATACTTTGTGGAGAATTGACATTTTTGTAATATTGAGTTTCTTTGTAAGTGTATGTTATATCACTTCTTTCATTAAGCCCTATTTTCAGTCCATCAATAAAATTGTGTAGTTGTTTTTTATAAATGACTTCTATATTTCTTTATTAAGTTTATTTTTTATAGTTTTGCTTGTGTTATTGGAATTTTATAATTATTTTTGTAATAATAATATATTTTATAATTAGCCGTGGTACTTCCATTTTGTAATATTTTAGAGTGCTTTTATAATTTCTTTTATGTACACTCTGCATATTAAGTATGTTGACCTTTTGTGTCTCTAGTATTTTTTCTATCCCACCTTTTAAAAAATTCAGTTTGTCTTTTAAAATGAAAACATCAATTTTTTCCTTTATGAGTGCTTTCTCTTTTGATTTGCATAGAAATCTTTCTCTCAGACAAATAACATAAAAATACTCAAATTTTCTTTTAGTACTACTGCAGTTTCAATTTTTTCCAAAGAGCTAGGCAGTGGCTCCAACACTGTTTTTTAAAAATAAACCACTTCTGCATCTCAGTACATTTTTTAGTATATTCAAGTGTAAGTATTTTTAAAGTTTTTTTTCCATCTGTTATCTAATATCACTCTCAAAAATTTACTTTTTAAAAATATTCCATAATTGTGGCTTCACTCTTTAGTAAGTATGGTTTTACCTGAATTCAACACATATTAATAGATGTTCAAAATTTGAGATTAGGCAGATATCTTTTATAATCAGTTTTAGAGACTAGTTAAAGGCAGAATTTTTAAAATAATTATGACCCAACTGTGTATTGAGACCACTTATATATATCTCGGCAAGTAAAAGGAAGTTTTTGTTTTGTTTTTTTAAAAAATCTTATTAGTGTACCTGATAGGATCAGAATTTCTTGGTTAACATGTAGGGGTTTTTTGGTTCATTTTTTCTATATTGATGCATTTTATTTATAACCTTTGCTAAAGAAATTATTTTTCTGTTTTTATAGTTTTGGTAAGCAGTTTGGAGGAAAAAGAGGATGTGATTGTCTTGTATTAGAGCCTTCAGAAATGATTGTGGTAAGAATTTTAAAGAATACTGAAATTGTTTTTTGATATGCTTCATTTTCAACTTTAAATGTAGTAGGCTTTTAAACACTCAAGGAAGTTCCATTACTGTGACTTTTTAAATATTTTACTAAGTAGCATCAAACTATATACCAAGTTCGATACATTTTCATCCACTTTAAAGTTTTTTCTGATCCTTGAAAGGGATGCAATTATATATAAAATGTTGCAAATTTGGTAATTTCTTTTACTACTTCTATCAGAAAATTTAAATAAGAGCTCTGAAAGGGGATCCTGATTTTCCTATTCAATTTAGTCAATAGTCTTTGAGCATCCATGTTCTGTACCCTGGACTTGAAGGAAAGAGGTAGAAAAAAAGAGATACAGTTATATCCAAGTAAGAAATGGTTTAGATCTTAATAGTTTTACTTTCAGAGTGTATTTAAGGAATAATTCTTTACTTTTTCCTGAGAAAGCTAGGTAGTTGATGTAACTATAGAAAATAAGACTTTTTTTCCTTACCATTTGAAGAATCCAGAACACAGCGGCCTTTTGCCTTGTTCTGAGATGACCTTACTAGAAAATAGTTAATACTGAATGGACTCTTTGTCCTACTAGCATCTCATGTAAATGATCATGTCATCTGATTTGATTTAAACTTGAGAAACGAGGTTGAATTCTTAATGAAGTCTTTTAATATCAGGGCTCAAAACTAAACCACTTTTCCATTTCATGGTGTTACAGTCAGATTGACATCTTCAGGTAGATTCTGTTTTCTCTTCCCTAAACTGGGTCATCTATGTTATCGTGAGCTTAGTGTCCTAAATTTCATATAAACCACTGATTTTAAGCTCCTAAAAGGCAAAGATTATTTCTTGTTCTGTTTGTGTCTTCCATAGTATTGCAGAGTGCTATCTGCATAGTAAATATTCAGTGAATGTTATTTGTTTTCAGGTTTGTTCAAGGCTTAGACTATGTATTGTTTTACATTTATTTTCTTTAAGTGTTGGTATACATGGCATATCTGTTAAGTTCTCAGAACCCTTTCCTCTAAATAAATGCATTGAGGGACATGGCAAGAAAACTGCCTCAGGCAGTACTGTTTTCTCAGTTATTTGTCTGTTGATGTATTTTATATTTCTCGTACTTTATGGGAAAAAAATAGTGCTTTTGCCATAGTGTTCTCATATACAGTTGACCCTTAAACAACATGAATTTGAACTGCTCAGTACCTTACATTCAGATATTTTTCAGTAGTAAATACTACAGTACTACACAGTCTGTGGTTGGTTGAATCTCTGAATACAGAGGGTGGACTATATACGTGGATTAAGCTCCATCCACCTTGTACATTGTTTTTTTGTCTTGTTTCATTGTGGTAAAATACACTTAACATGAAATTTACCATTTTAGCCATTTTTATTATTTTTATTTTTATTTTTTTGCGGTACGCGGGCCTCTCACTGTTGTGGCCTCTCCGTTGCGGAGCACAGGCTCCGGACGCGCGGGCTCAGCCGCCATGACTCATGGGCCCAGCCGCTCCGCGGCATGTGGGATCTTCCCGGACCAGGAACGAACCCGTGTCCCCTGCATTGGCAGGCGGACTCTCAACCACTGTGCCACCAGGGAAGACCCCATATTAGCCATTTTTAAATATACAGTTTAAGATATTAAGTTAATTACTAAAGTTATTAACAATTAAATTAATTTTCCTTTTAGATTAAAGGGAGGAGTTGTACTTTTCTTGCCCCAAACTGGGAGTTAGCCGTTTCTGTTTCTAAAGCAGTATTTAGAAACCAAGATCTGGCAGCCGGCTGTTTTCATTGCTCCAGGTGCTTCATTGCTTGTAGGGCCTTTCACTGGACAGAGCTAGAAAATGTACGTTTGAGTGTATGTATACACATACATACACACATATATACACCTCTGTATTTATTTCTTTGTTTCTGTGTACCTGTGTTTAAAATCTAGAGTTTATTCTGTTTTTCTCATTTTGCTTATTTGTACCTCCTTTCACTAACAGTGAGAAACTTGGTTTCCATCATCATCAAAACATTTACTGACACCTAAGACAGTTTTAAAATTGCTTGCTCATAACAATGTAGAAAGCACTACTATCTAGAGTATTAACATACTCTAGATAGTATTTTAAGTGTACATATTTTAAGTGTACAAACATATTTTAAGTGTACAATTCATTGATATTACAAACGTATGCCACTTAAAACCTTCCTCTGTCAAAATATGAAATACTTCCATCACCTACCTTATAAAGTAAGGAAATATTCAGAGAATTATAGGGACCTGGCAAAAGGACAGAGGAACGAGATTGAAGGGAGTCCCATTGGCCAAATCTGGGACAGTTTGAGAATCCAAATAAAAATGTATAGTGATTGATGGTACCCTACTGTATAATAAAGAATTTGTTAATTTCTAATGGTATGAATGAATGAAAAGGAAGAGTTCTTCCTGATAGTTAAATGCCAACTAATAAGTCTAGAAGGAATGATTAAGTTAGAAAATCGTTGATGAATGCCAAAACTTGTGACTAATGTTTGTTGAGAAACAGGATACTTACGTAGTCTCATTGTATTTCCCCACAAATCATTTATGAAAGGAAAAATTACCAAATTTCTGATGGGGAAATGTGGAGGAAACCACTATAACAAAAATTATTGCTACCACCATCAATATAGGCAAAAAGTGATACACTACTCATGATATGATGCACTGAGGAGGACAGAACATCACCTCTGAGACATATTCCTGCCAGAAATGCCTGCCTGCAGCTAATCAGTAGTAAATAGCTGACAAACCAAATGGAAGACATTCTAAAAATTGAGGTCCTATACTCTTTAAATATCCCAGTGTCAAGAAACATCACAGAAAGACTGAGGAACTGTTTCATATTAAAAGAGAAAAAAAGAGATATAACTAAATACAGTGCTTTTTATCTTGCATTAAATCTTGGAGGCAGGAGAGGGGAGTAACTATAAATGATAATGTTGGCACAGTTGGTGAAATTTGAACATGGACTGTGGTTTAGATATTGAGTTTACTGATTTTGATTATTGTAGTGGGGTTATGTAAGACAAAATTCTTGTTCTTAGGAAATACATGTTGACATATTTTAGGGTCAAGAATCACCCTCTCTTCAATTTATACCCAAATGTTTTGGGAAAAAAAAGTATGTGTACATATAAAATTTTTAAAATCACCCCAAATAATCACATCAAGTGTATATATTTATGATTGGTAATTTTGAAATTCCAAAACAGTATTTTATTGATGATCAGCATAGTTTAAAATGCTCTATGAGTTATAGGAGAAAATAATCTAAAATAATTTTAAGATTTTTGTTCCTGAAGTTTCTGAGGATTTTGTTTTTATTCCACCATATTGATGAATCTTGATTTTTTTTTCAGTTTTTCACTGTTATTACATCCTTTGAAATACAAAATTGTACTGAACATTTTGTAATAGCATAAATCTTTGATACCTAAGTGTATTTTTTAGGTGAAATGATTTAGAATTCATAAAAATGCTTGGTCCAAGTATACATGTTTATAAGTAATGCTTACTATTTTGATAAGTTCTATCAAGTACTTTTATTACGTGTGTATTTCTACAAATTTGAGTAACCACTGGTGATTGGGAATGCCTGTTTCTAAACACCTTGCTCATCACCTGATAGGTTAGTCATCTTAATCTGACACATTATAATGAAATCTCGTTTTAAATTACCTGTGCATGTTCTCATATGCTTTATGGAGGGTTTATTTTTCTTATTATCCGTTTATTATCAGTTTATAATATTTCTTATTATCTCTTGCCCATTTTTCTACTTGGATTATTCCTTATTTGTTCATGAGAGCTTTTTATTACTAGGTAAATGAACCCTTTTGTTGTAAGAAGCTGTTTATCAGTTTTTAACTTTAGTCTGAAGTAAATTTTATGTCAGTTATAATTTTTTTTAATCTGTTGAGTTTTTTTCCTCTTATGACTTTTTGAAGTCATGCTTATTAGAAAGACCTTCCCATGACAAGATTATTGAACTTTTAAAATCTGTATTGCTTTATAGAATTTTATTAGTTCATTGTTTTAATTAAACTTTTAAATCTTTCTTCTTCTGGGTAGCTGAAGACAGCGGTAACCACTTAACTACTTGTCTCCCAGTATTTCCTCTAAAAACAGTGTAGAACTACAAGAAGGGTATAAGAAATCTATACACAAACCATGCTCACAGCATAACTTGAAGACAGAGGATGCTCAAACTTGAAAATAATTGTAAATAAAAAGAGAGAAATCACCGTTTCCCAGCATGTTATTTCTCACACTCCATCTCTACTCCCAACCCTTATCAAGGGTTTGTGATGAACAAAGGCCAACCAAGCAGATCTGTAGAAAACACAGAAAATGGAAGCTAGCAAATGGACCTAGGGTTAACCTGTACTGTTGGAAAGACTAATTCCACGCTAAGTTTAAAATTAAATATGTGTGTGTGTACGTATGCATATGATAGATCAGAACAGAGACTACAGTGAAGTTTTTTAATATTATGAATAATTTTCAGAGTAGTCATCTAAATGCGTAGCTTCAGGGTTAAGATAAAAGGTAAAAAGGAAACAAGCTCTCTTTGGCATTTAAGTGGTGAAGAAGCAGCACATGGGTAAGTTTTAGGTGCCTACAAGCCAAAGTGAACACAAAATCAGAGTCTTACAACCTCTCCTTCCACTAGCAAGACAAAAAGAAAAAAGTATCTTAAAACATCTGGACTTCAAAGTATTTGGCAGAAGAGGTGCTGTTAAACTAGGAGTTTTGTAAGACATCCTAATACCACAAAAAGGTAAAAAGGGGAACTTGATAAATCCATATGTAGGTATTATAAAAATAAAAGAAAATTATTACATGTCAACTGAGAAAAAAACTCCTCCCCACCGCAGAAAAACCATCATGCAGATGTAGAGTGTGGCCACACTCCAGAGTTAAATATATTCAATCAACCAGTTGAG